AGCGTACGCTAGCGTAGCGAGGGCACGGGAAGCATAGCTATCGATCTAGCGCTCCCAGCGTTTCACGAGCGTTTCACTAGCGTTTCGCTAGCGTTTGCAGCGGCGGGGCTAGAGAGTATAGAAGAGTAGGAGAGTATTTGTACTCTCCTACTCTTCTATACTCTCTAGCCCCGCCGCTGCAAACGCTAGCGAAACGCTAGTGAAACGCTGGAAGCGCTACGCTACGCTGCCGCAAAGTATAAACGCAGCCTAACCGACAGTACCCCAAATTTCATTTCAAACTGCTCTGGATGCGCTCTCCGTGTCGAATGGTGATGAGGAGAAAGATCTGGCACCAACAAGTGAGAACTCGTCCGACCACGCCCATTGTTCCTCTTATGCAGATACAAGCGCGATTCAACATGGGGTTCTTATTGGGGTGCCTTCGGCAATTATTTTTTTTCCTGCTTTCTTCTTCACTGCTGGCTCACTAACCGTCTTGTCATTGAAATTTGAGCCGAACAACTCATTTTTGAACACGTGGGTGCCTTTGAACCTAAGAAGTATGACAATTTCGTTTTCGAAATAGGCCTTCTGTGCATTTTCGCACTTTTGACTCCTTCCCGCAGGCCTCAAAATTCTCATCTCCTTAATCACAGTCATCTCTTCGATCGTCCTACTCTGAAAAATGTATAACGCTAGGAAGTAACAAGTATCGTGAAAATTAAGAGAAATAGACATTCTTCTTGGCCTAGTTTCGCGAGTGCCCTCTCCTAGCCCCACCCCACTTGCCGCAGTGTGCTCAGGAACTGTTCTGCAACACAGGCCAGTGGTCCTTTGCAAAAGCATTTGGTCAACTTACTGTTAGTTAACACATTCGAGGCGAAAGGCCATTTCGTTCAGCACCCTCACGTTCTTTCGTTGTTTGGCATAGTTTCTTTACAATGTTTTTTCTTCATATTGATGTGTTAATTATGTAAATGTAACCTACGCAGAACTAATAATCAGTGCGCAAAAAGGACAAAAAAAATATCGCTGACATACGCCCGAAGCGCTACGCTGCCGCAAAGTATAAACTCAACCTTAGTGGGGGACGCGCTTCCTAATGTAATTTTGAGCAGCGGAATTAGTACATCCTCCACCCTTGCAGCGCGGACTCCAAAGAAGGCGCCTGAACATCAAATGAACACGGGAGCGTGCCTTCAAAGGAAATAACAAGAGGCGGAACTGTGACATTTTAACATTACCGAATTTCGTAAAAACTTGTCAACTCACTGATTGAGCATAAGCGCTATTGGTCCCATATAAATCCAGTCCCATAAAACGAGTTCACTTCGACTCATATGTCCCACTATCAACCGGTTTGTTGCCTTAGCAGATTGAGAAATTTGTTCCACGAAGTCCACGTCAGTACACAAAATGAAACTGCGAATCACCTTGGCAGCTACTGCACCGAAGCATAGCACAAATATGGTGATATTTTCGTCGAAAACAGCACTTCGCGATTTGCTGTATATCATGCAGAATGGAATAATAGACGCCAAAAGTGGGCAGACAGGGAAAAGAACGGAAGTACCAGCAACTGGAACTAAATAGATGAGAAAAAGAAGTGCAGTGAAAATAGTTCATATCAGCTTGAAAAAGAGACGCGACGTCAGCCCACCTGTCGACCCGTTTCTTCCAACTCCACCTGTGAGAATAACGCCGAGGTGGCACATGCTTGTATAGATAGCTACAAGGAGTGTTGTTAGCAGAAGCATATGTCGTAATTGGTAACCAAAGGCCCCTGAAAGGAGTGGACGAATCCAAGAACTAAATAAACAAAACGAGACAAAAACTCTTGAAGACGAGTTGTACAATCACCTCCGAGGAGGGTCCAAGCACTGTGCTATCAGCGGGTCCGCAGTTGCAGTAGCGTGCTATGTTTCTTGTTCCTAGCGTTCACGGGAGGGCTGGTTTTGGTAGAGGTACCCGAGTGCCGTCTCGCGCGATATCCTCGAGCTGCAGCATTTACGTCGATACCAAGGTCCCGCAATGAAACTGTACTCAGTGATAGGGAACAAAGAGGGTATACAGACACCAGACAAGTAACGCGTTTGGCTGTGATCAGGACATTGAGCCGCTCTGCGGCAGTGCGGGCGGAATATGGATGTGGTA